AAAAAAAAAAAAAAAAAAAAAAAAAAAAAAAAAGGAAGCACCATAGTATTTGTAAATGCTTTGCTATTTATTTATTGTAGAGACAGTCTCACTACATTGCCCAGGTTGGTCTCGAACTCCTCGCCTCAAACAGTCCTCTGGTCTTGACCTCCCAAAGTGCTGGAATTATAGGTGTGAGCCACCTTGGCCATACTTTTTTTTTTTTCTTGAGATGGAGTCTTGCTGTTGCCCAGGCTGGAGTGCAGTGGCGTGATCTCAGCTCACTATAACCTCCAACTCCTGGGTTCAAGGGATTCTCCTGCCTCAGCCGCCCAAGTAGCTGGGATTACAGGCACATGCCACCATGCCTGGCTTATTTTTAGTATTTTTAGTAGACAGGGGGTTTCACAGTGTTAGCCAGGATGGTCTTGATCTCCTGACCTCGTGATCCGCCTGTCTTGCCCTCCCAAAGTGCTGGGATTACAGGCATGAGCCACTGTTCCCAGCCTTTTTTTTTTTTTTAAAGATTAAAAAAAAAAAATTCCCATTCTCAGAGATTTTGATTAGGTGGACTGGAAGAGACACTCCTCTAATACTTCCACCAGTCACGGGAACAAGAAGGGCACATCAGGAAATGCCACATAGGAAATGGTTTTGCCAAAAGCCAAAGACCATGAGCAGGCAAAAACCAAAGTAAATTCTCTTTAAGTCACAAAATGAAGGATACAGCTTTCTTTCTTTCTTTTTTTGTTTTTTTGAGTCAGAGTTTCGCTCTTGTTGCCCAGGATGGAGTACAGTGGCATGATCTCGGCTCACTGCAACCTCTACCTTTCCGGATTCAAGAGATTCTCCTGCCTCAGCCTCCCAAGTAGCTGAGATTACAGGTGCCCACCACCACGCCCAGCTAATTTTTGTATTTTTAGTAGAGATGGGGTTTCGCCATGTTGGCCAGGCTGGTCTCGAACTCCAGACCTCAGGTGATCCGCCCGCTTTGGCCTCCCAAAGTGCTGGGATTACAAGTGTGAGCCACTGTGACCGGCCACATACATCTTTCAAAAAGAAATACTAGTGAGAAAGGCAAGTTACTCAGTTGATGGGCTCAGGTTAACCACCAGCACTATCTACTCTCCCTACATCCTTTCCTGTGATTTGCTGTGAGAAGTCTGGCTGCCCTTGGGAAGGTCTTTGTATGAGAGGTGACAGAACCTTAGTCTGAGAAGTGGAGCACAGACCCTAGGGGAGAATGGGCCACTGACCCAGGGAGCTCCCTGTGGTTGACAGGCAGCTGGATAACACACTCTGCTAAATGGAAGTTAATGGCTGAAAGTGAATATGGTACTTGCTGTAAGGAAATTAAGCAAACTTCACTGTAGTGAGTTCTTTCAGGTCCTCTTCAGATACCCCTTGGGTATGGGGAGACATGGACCAGAACAAGCCTTCCCTAGCTTGCTCAGAGTGCTAAGGTCCTAAGTCTCTGGGGAAGGATATGACAAGACCCTCCTCTTTCCCTTCTCGGCTTCAGGAGGTCACTCTGGCTTGATCTAGAGCCTGTCTGAATTAAGGTCTCTAGCCCTCACCTCACCTCTAGGTTAGAGTTGTGTCCCAGTGCAAATAGGAAACACTCTCCAGAAGGCATGCAGGGGGAGTAGCTTGGAAATGGGATGACCTCCTCCTCACTCCTACTGTATCTTCTCCTGCCCCTACCCCCAGCTGCCCTGTCAAACCCTGTTCCTGACAGATGAGGAGAAGCGTCTGCTGGGGCAGGAAGGGGTTTCTCTGCCCTCTCACCTGCCCCTCACCAAGGTAACATGCTTCCCCTAAGAGTATCCCAACCCAGGGGTCTCACCATGACTTCTGAGGGGCCACTATCCCAGGAGAAGCACTGGGGAGTTGGGGTAGGTGAAAGACCCAGGATTCACACATCCTGGGCCTCCAGGCAGAGGAGAGGGTCCTCAAGAAGGTCAGGAGGAAAATCCGTAACAAGCAGTCTGCTCAGGACAGTCGGCGGCGGAAGAAGGAGTACATTGATGGGCTGGAGAGCAGGTATGCCTGGGTTACTTCTGGCTTCCTGTGGACCACGTCTGGGCCCCCTTGCTCACCACAGCTGGCAAGATAAGGGACTCAGGTTGCTGAGCCTTGTCCTACCTCCCCACACTCTAGGGTGGCAGCCTGTTCTGCACAGAACCAAGAATTACAGAAAAAAGTCCAGGAGCTGGAGAGGCACAACATGTGAGTGAAAGCTCTGTGTGGGCGTGTATTGAAGGCAGGGAGGGTACAGCACACAGGGGCACCACTCTTGGCCCTGGTACCCAGAAGATCCTAACTCTTCATTCCTCCTTTCCCAGCTCCTTGGTAGCTCAGCTCCGCCAGCTGCAGACGCTAATTGCTCAAACTTCCAACAAAGCTGCTCAGACCAGCACTTGTGTTCTGGTACCACTAGTCTATCTACTCCCATCTCCCCCCACCTCCACCATCTCACCCACATTTCTATCCTTACACCCCAACTTCCCGGCCAGATCTACTTCCCACATTCAATAACCCCAGCTGGCCTCTGTTCATTCTGCCCTCCTCCCTTCTTCTATTCCTCTTGCTTCCTCCCAGATTCTTTTTTCCCTGGCTCTCATCATCCTGCCCAGCTTCAGTCCATTCCAGCGTCAACCAGAAGCTGGGCCTGAGGATTACCAGCCTCACGGAGGTGAGAGGCAAGGGCAGAGAGCAACCCCTGGCTGAGCAAGGGAGGAGGGCTCCGTTCTCCAAGGTCCTCAAGAAGCAAGAGGGAGGTCCTGTCCTGTCTAGGGTCTCCCGCCCAGGGGAGCACTCTACTAGTGCCTTCTTTCCTTCACCTCACAGTGACTTCCAGAAACATTCTGACCCACAAGGACATAACAGAAAATCTGGAGACCCAAGTGGTAGAGTCCAGACTGAGGGAGCCACCTGGAGCCAAGGATGCAAATGGCTCAGCGAGGACACTGCTTGAGAAGATGGGAGGGAAGCCAAGACCCAGTGGGCGCATCGGGAATGTGCTGCATGCAGATGAGATGTGAGCTGGAACAAACCTTCCCGGCCCACTTCCCAATCACAAGGAGGAATCCTGGGCTTCCTTATGGCTTTGCTTCCCACGGGGATTCCTACTCAGGTGTCTGCCCTAAGGGGTCCAAATCACGTCAGGACACCCCAGGAGATGCCTTTTAGTCTCTCTCTGCCTGAGGCCCGGTCTGCATATATGAGAGGGTACCTCAAATACTTTCATCATATATCTGTGATTTTATTTCTTCTTTGGGGATAGAGTTGAGGGGAAATAAGTCTTGAGTGAGAAATAAACGTTTTAACCGAAATTGTATCCCAGAAGTTTGAAATAAGTAGAAGAGGGGGGAACACAAGGAGAAAGTGGTGGGGAAGACTTGGTAGATTGGGGCCTTAAGTAGCTGCCTCCTTTCCCTGTCTGCCCTCATGACTTCCTAATCCAAGTTACAGAAGGGAAAGAAACTATTTTATTCTTTTTATTCTGCTCATTAATGATCTGGAAGAAGATGGGGAAAAGGGGCTATCATCACAAGGCTTCAAAGAACCAAGGGTGCACATCACTCCATTTCACTTTCACTGTCTGAGATAGGGTCTCTAAGACCCAGGATAAAAGGCTGTAATGTAGCTATATGGACTCGATCTGCTTCCGGACCTTTTCCAGAGCCTTTCTGTCCAGCTGTCGCTGACGAAGGATGACAAGACAAGCGAAGATCAGGGCCACACACACAACAGCCCCTTCGAACTTCCAAAACAAGCGTTGTTCCATCAGAGCTGAGCGGCAGCTGAGGGCAGGAAGGAATAGTTATTTCTGGGGAAGACCAGAGAGCTTCTCCGTCTAATCTCCCTTCCACTTCAGCCTAGCCAGGATACATTCAAAAGGAAATCACAGCCAGGCTTCTATTATGTGTATAGTACATAAATTCCTCTCAAATAGATCATTTAATTTATTCTCTGGTGGAATAAGCAGAGCTAGTATTAACCAATTTTACTGATGAGAAAATATGGCCAATAACATAGTGCTGAGGAGTAGAGCTGGGACTTGGGTTCAAATAATTTGGCTTCAAATCTGGTCTTTTTTCTTCTTCTTCTTTTTCTTTTTTTTTTTTGAGATGGAGTCTCACTCTGTTGCCAGGAGTGCAGTGGCACAATCTCAGCTTACTGCAACCTCCACTTCCTGGGTTCAAGAGATTCTCCTGCCTCAGCCTCCTGAGTAGCTAGGATTACAGGCATGCGCCACCACACCCAGCTAATTTTTGTAGTTGTTTTTTTTTTAGTAGAGACGGGGTTTCACCATGTTGGCCAGGATGGTCTCGATCTCTTGACCTTATGATCCACCTGCCTTGGCCTCTCAAAGTGTTGGGATCACAGGTGTAAGCCACTGCGCCCGGCCTCTTCTTTTTTGAGACACACTCTCACTCCATTGCCCAGGGTGGAGTGCAGTGGCATGATTTCGGCTCACTATAACCTCTGCCTCCCAGGTTCAAGGGATTCTCCTGCCTCAGTCTCCCGAGTAGCTGGCATTACAGGTGTCTGCCATGCCACACACCTAATTTTTTTTTTTTTTTTTTTGAGACAGTCTCACTCTGTTGCCCAGACTGGAGTGCAACGGCACTATCTTGGCTCACTGCAACCTCCACCTGCCAGATTCAAGCAACTCTCCTGCCTCAGCCTCCTGAAGAGCTGGGATTACAGGCATGCACCACCAAAGCCAGCTAATTTTTTTGGTATTTTTAGTAGAGACGGTGTTTCAGCATGTTGGTCAGGCTGGTCTCAAACTCCCAGCCTCGTGATCTGCCTGCCTCAGCCTCCCAAAGTGCTGGGATTACACGTGTGAGCCACTGTGCCCAGCCCTCTCTTCTTTCAAATACTCCATGCTAACCCCAAACCAGGGGAAAAGGTGTGACCATCTACCTAAAGTCATGGGAACAAAGAAGGTGATCTCCAAGAAGAGAAACGGCACTCACCTTTTGAACTCATTTCTCTTAGATGAGCTGCATGTGATTTTCTCCACGTACCCTGTGGGACCACACTCAGGGGTGGTTTTCTGCCAGGAGAAAAGGACCAAAGCACATATCAGGAAGGGGCAACGGGAGAAGCAAAAAGGTGCAGATGCCCAACTGCTATGGTTTGGAGTTGGTAGGCAACAAGAGAGCTAATGAAAGAGTTCTGATGTGGATGGTGGAGGTGGTGGTTGCATGATTACAAATGTATGTTAGAACACTTCAGGAGCAATAGTCTAGGAGAGGCAGGGATACATTCCATTCCAGAGCATACTATTCTAAAAATGAATGAAACATAGTTGAGGCGGGTGCAGTGGCTCACGCCTGTAATCCCAGCCAGCACTTTGGGAAGCTGAGGTGGGTATATCATTTGAGGTCAGGAGTTCGAGACCAGCCTGACCAACATAGTGAAACCCCATCTCTACTGAAAATACATATAACTCGATCAAGACAGTTGCAGGTGGGCAAAAAAAAAAAAAAAAGGATGAAAAAAGAAAAAGAAAATACAAAAATTAGCTAGGCGTGGTGGCGTGCCTGTACTCCCAGCAACTCGGGAGGCTGAAGCAGAAGAATAGCTTGAAATGGAGAGGTGGAGGTTGTGGTGAGCTGAGATTGCACCACTGCACTCCAGCCTGGACAACAAGAGCGAGACTCCATCTCAAAAACAACAACAACAACATAGTTATCAGTTGAATACTGCCATTAGCTTGGAAAGAAAGGGGCATATTTCGGGGGAAACACAAGTACAGATTTGGACATACACTAAGACTGCAAGGAGAAGGAAAAAAAGATGATGCAAAGGCAGCTTAATAAGACTTGGGGGCTGTTTAGATGTTAAAAAAAAATGTAGAAACTCACAGCCTGGAAACTAGAGCATCGAGAGCACTCTTCTGACACCACAAACTCTTCCACCAGCCAGCATGGCAAATTTGAGGTGCTCACTGAAAGGAAAGAGAAATGCCAACCCTGGACCATTCGGAAAACATTTCTCCCTAGGACTGCCCATCTAGCTTCCCAGCAAAGGGCTTGCCCTCATTCCATGTGGTGCCGCCCTTTTCCACCTTTGTTCTTGGTATATGGGGAAGATACTAAAACCAAAAACAAACGACGGAAGGGTCGGGTTCCCAGACAATCACCCACCTGACAGCTTCTCCTCCTGCACTGGAGCCTCTGCTTGGCTGTAGCGGAGTGGGGGGAAGGGGCAAAAGTCAAAATCCAGAAAATAGGGCACCCTCTTCTCTGTCCATGGACAAGGTCTCCCCCAACCCCGGGACCGGGAACGATCCTGTCCTCCAGTGACCTCCTTTCCCCTCCCATTACCCTCTCCTTACCAGAGCTTTAAGGTGAAAGCACAGAGCAACCAGCAGAGGCGGCGGCCCTGGGGGAGGCCATGCCTCCCCGCGCCCGCAGGCATGGAGCGCCCAGTGTCGCACCTGTCGGAACAGAGGGACCTACTCCACCGGCCTCGTGCCTCCGTCGGAGCGCAGAGGCTGCACTTACTCTGCAGCCCTCCCAGAGGTTCCACGTCAGGGTGGGAAGGGCCGGAGTTGCCTAACGGGCAAAGGTTCTATCGGGACATCCCCGTTGCCACAGCGAGAAAAATCTACACGCATCTGCCGGCCAGAGAGGCGAGCACCTTCTGCGGAGCCCGCAGGGCGCTGGACGAAGAGCCGGCTGGGACGCGCGACCCTAGCGCCTGCTCACCTCCGCTTCCGCCCCCGATGCAACCATCTTGTCCCGTGGAGAATTGCCTTTGCGCGCGGCCGGTGTTCCTGGGCGTGTCGAGTCGTCGCCCGCTGGGGATTGTAGTCTTCCGCGGTCTGGCGCCTCGCCCGCTGCTCACTGGGAATAGACTCGGCGCCCCATTGCATTATGGTCTCGGTAGTCTTTCGAGAAACGGACAATGGCGGTTACCTAGGCTCGTCCGGATTCTCGGCTCGCTGCTCCCTGGCTGGCGCCTGTTTGTTCATTCTGGGCTAAGTGAGCAGGGACGATACGTCGCCCTCTCAGAAATTTGCTTCCTCCTTAAAACCCTAGGTGTCATCATCAACTTCAGTTTGTCTGACATCCTTCCCCAATCGACCCCGATGGTCCAGTGGAGAAGCTGTGTTGGAGGTCAAGGGATGAAGGCGAAACTGCGCTTTCTCGTTCCCACAGAAGCGGAAATATCCGAGACACACGGTGAACGTGAAACTTCCTTCTTGTCTGAGCGCTCCCACTCCGCTACACAGATGAACGGTGTCACCTTCCCTCATGTTACTTGCTAAGCCTACTCCACAGAGCTGGTCCTTTGCATAACCTCTTAAAATATTCTCAACTGGCCGGGCGCGGTGGCTCAAGCCTGTAATCCCAGCACTTTGGGAGGCCGAGGCGGGTGGATCACAAGGTCAAGAGATCGAGACCATCCTGGTCAACATGGTGAAACCCCGTCTCTACTAAAAATACTAAAAATTAGCTGGGCACGGTGGCGCGTGCCTGTAGTCCCAGCTACTCGGGAGGCTGAGGCAGGAGAATTGCTTGAACCTAGGAGGCAGAGGTTGCGGTGAGCCGAGATCGCGCCATTGGACTCCAGCCTGGGTAACAAGAGCGAAACTCCGTCTCAAAAAAAAAAAAAAAAATTCTCAACTCTCCCTTGCTCCTACATAATGGAGTAATAAGTGCAACGAGAAAAGCATGAGATTTTAAGTTCCAAAAAGTATTGAGTCTAGGTTCTGGTGGTTATTAACTCCATGATCTTAGGATAGTATCTTTCTCTCAATGTTCTGTGTAAAACGGGATGCTAATGTGCCTTTATCAGTACTTTTTCTTGAGAGAGGCAAATGAAATGTATCTCCGTTTTATGAATAAGTTCAGAGAGTACAAGTGACTTGTCCAAGGTCAGCAAGTTACTGAGTGGGAAAGCTGAGGCTTGAGCCTAGACTGTCAACGCAAGCCAAAGGTCCATGCCCGCCTTTCTTTTTTTTTTTTTTTTTTTAGACAGGGTCTCACTCTGTCACCCACGCTGGAGTGCAGTGGTGCAATCTGAGCTCACTGCAACCTCCTCCTCCTAGGTTCAAGTGATCCTCCCACCTCAACCTCCCAAGTAGCTGGGACCACAGGCAAGTGCCATCATGCCTAGCTAATTTTTTTGTAGTTGGTAGAGACAAGGTTTTGCCATGTTTCCCAGGCTGATCTAGAACTCCTGAGTAAAAGGGATCCACCTGCCTCCACCCCAGGCTTCCCAAAGTGCTGGGATTACAGGCATGTGCCACCATCCTAGGCCTTGGTAATGTATTAATCACTACCCTAATTCTTCCCTAATTTGCCTCCTA